CCATGTGGGTGCTGGGATTCAAACCTGGATTTTCTGTAAGGACAGCAGTGCTCTTAACCATTGAGTCATCTCTTCAGTCCCCCTTAGTATCATTTTTATAGACAATAAATATTATGACTTTTTACAATTTACCTAAGAATATGGCAAGAAATAAAAATAGCTGTGTAGTAACTGGATGATAAAGGCTATCCCCTTTGGAAAATGCATATAATATGCCATATATATATACATACACGTATATACATAAAGATTGCACACAGTGATAATAGAATGCTAAGTTCTTTTTTCTTTTTATTCCTAAGTATTCTTTTTTTCCCTAAGTATTCTTTAGAGTTATTTTGAAGCAATGATGTATTTCAAGGAACTTTGTATAATGAAAACACAAAAATCTATAACTCATGATCCATGTATTATATACAAATTTTAAGGGACTTTAAGATTATTTCTCAAATTATGGTTCTGGAATCAATACAAAGTCAGCTCAATGAGAGCAGGAATTGTGGACTATCTTGTTCTCTAGTGAGTCCCCAGCATCTGGACACACTAAGAACATGCACGGGTATTTAATAAACATCGTGACTGATAGAATGAATGAACTGTTCTTAGTAATGCCAATTTAATATCAGTTTTAGGGAAATACATTTTAGTTGGGAATTTACTTGGTATGCATATTCATTTTTCACTTTTTTTAAATGTTCCTATCAATTGCCACATAAAGGCCATTAGGACATGTGCCTGATTTGTGCTTCCTTCTGCTGGCCATAGGTCCTTTCTGCTCATTCCAGGTAAACCCAAAACAAACAGCCTGCTTGCTGTTCCTAGAACCAGATGCAGAAGCAACACAGAGTTCCTTATGATAGACACTCAGCAATAGGGTCACACTATTGCTGACCTAGAACTTTCCATCTTCCATCCTCAGCCTCCTGAATCTGGATGTGTTTCAGCATTCTGCTCTTTTACCTGAGTTAAAAACTTTTGCAAAACAGCTCTCAGAGGGGCTTAGGGAGATAGCTCAGTCAGTAAAGGACTTGCCACATAAGCATAAGGACCTGAGTTCAAACCCCAAGACCCAGGTAAAAATACCAGATGTGGTGGTGTGCTTGTGATCCCAGCACTGGGGAGGTGTAGACAAGAGAATTCCTGGGATTCACTGGCTAGTCAGTCTAGCCTATTTGGTGAGCTCCAGACAAATGTGAGACCCAGTCTTGAAAAATGAGTGAAATTCCATAGGATGACACCCAAGCACAGGCACATGCATGCACACACACACACACACACACACACACACACACACACATTAAAAGAAGAATAGAATATCACTCAGAGACAAATATAGGCATATAGACATATAGCAGCCCTGTACCATTAAAAATACACTGTGACTACATTTGTCATTTTAATTTTTCTAACAGCCACATTAATCCAAATAGCAAAACTAGGTAAAATCAATCACAGTGTTATAGCCTGTTATATACAAAATATTGTTTCATTGTGTGATGAGTATAAAAGGATTAATGAGGTATTTTATATTCATTTTTGTACTAGCTCATAAAAATTCAGCTGCTATTTTGTACTTTACACCTATGAATTTTGAGAAGCCACATTCCAAGTGGTTAGAGTCCTGTGGTGGGCAGTATAACTTTAGGGGTGGTCACAAACTTATAGCTATTGCCCATTTCTTCTCCCACTGAAATTCTTGGAACGCATGGTTATGGGATGGGGCCTGAGCCACTGGAATGTGGAGTTGCCACCAACTCACATGGAAAAGGCACCTGGATAGAAGGGACCAGGAGATACTGTTATGGCAATCAGATGCCATGTTAGCTCGTGTGGAAGATCCTTAAGATTAAGCTTGTCCAAATTTTATACAGTATTTTGCACTTTCTGTCTAATTCTAGTTTCTGTTTTCACTTCAATAATCTAAACCTATATTGGTATATATTTGATGATTTAATATTGTTATTTCTACTACATTTTTCTTTATCAAATGAAGGTTTTTTTTCTCACACTGACTTTAGCCTTAAGGTCTAACTTGTGTGATACTTATGCAACTATGCTAGCTAGCCTTCTTTGGTGTGCGTGTGTGTGTGTGTGTGTGTGTGTGTGTGTGTGTGTGTGTGCTGGTGTCTTAGTTTATTTCTCCATTGTTGTGACAAAACACTCTGACCAATACCAACTTGGGGAAGAAAGGGTTTATTCAGCTTACATCTCCCAGGTCGCAGTTCATCAGGGAGCCCAAGGTAGGAACTCAGGGCAGGAACCTGGAAGCAGGAGCTGGAGCACAGGCCATGGAGGAGCTCTGCTTGCTGGCTTGCTCCCCTGGCCCCTGCTCAGTTTGCTCTCTTATCCAACACAGGCCCACCTGCCCAGGGGTGGCACTACCCACAGTGGGCTGGGCCCTCCCACATCACTCAACAATCAAGAAAATGCCCCACAGACATGGCCACAGGCCAGTTCAATGGAGGCAATTCCCCAATTGAGGGTCCCTCAACCCAGGTGTGTCAAGTTGACACTATAGCTATCCAGAACAGCTGGGTTCATTGCCCTTCTTTCTTTTCAACATTCTTTGATATTTTGTGTATAGATTATATATACTATTTTCATGTAATAGTACATATAGCAACATCTTATTGAGATGGGCTTCATATGCTCTGTCCACTTAAGTGCATACTTTGATGGCTCTTAGTACATATATGATGACTCACTGTCATCACTTCTCTCTTTCATCAGCCCTGAGCCTACCCCACATCCATTGAGCAGTTACTCCAGTTAACATCTCCCCACAGCCCACTTTCTGTCTATAAAATTGCCTATTCTGGACATCTCATATAAATGGAATTTTTATACATGACTTTTCTCAGTTGAGGCATATGCAGTTAATTCATTCTTTTTTATTGCTGAGTAATATTCCATTGTTATGCATATGCCACATTCTGCCTGCCCTTCTCCTTTTGGGCTGTTGTAACTAAAGGTGCTATAAACATCTTATATGACATTTGTTTTTTATTCCCCCCTTTCTCCAATAATTTTGTTCTTGTTTATAACATGTATATCTTTAATCCATCAGAACTAGATTTTGGTGCAAGCTGTCTGTATCAGAACCAAGTTCTCATCTTTCCCTTATATATTGCTTAAGGTGATACTAATTGATTGTATTCTTACCAGTAAATTATATATACACATCTTTGCAAATATGCCATTTTATTTATAATACACGTCCATGTGAGTGGGAAGGGGTTCACAAGCCCTCCTCACCCATAACCGAGGAGCTATGGACAGTTGATGACTTCTGGGGAAGGGAGAATCAGTTTTCTTCAAGGGTGTGGCCCCTGGTGGGGATACCATGCTCCAGTGGATGGCCCCACCCCTAGGAGTATATGAGAAGACAAACTGGAGTTGATGGCTTATTTTGGAGCAGAGGGTGAATATGATCATAATATATTGTGTGAAATTCTCAAAGAATTAATAAAATATTTTATAAATACGTAACTATTACAATTTTATCATATTCACTACAGTCAAGAGTTATAGATTAGAATAGTTTATTAATATTAAGATCAATGACCTTTTTCTATTTAGTAATAAAACCCTAGAGAGAATTCACTGCTAAGCTCTTTTGCAGAGCACCCATTATAAAATGAACCTATGGAGCTCTGGCCTGAAGTGGGAAAATTAATCTACCCTCCTGTGGGCCTACTTCTCCAATCCTTGGCAAGCAAGCATCCTGCAAGTACTTGAAGCCCCTGTTCCAGGATATGCTGAATACCTGTGTGCAGCATTGGCAAGGGTTCACAAAGTTGCCAGTTGGACATATCATGACCCCCTTTACCTACAGTGGGGACAGCCACCCCATTGCTACAACCAGAGATTTCACAAATTGTGCATCTGACATTTAGCATTCTCCATGCCCATGCCCAAGACCCCATTGGAGGTAGAAGATGGTTTTAACACCACCTCTGTTGCTCCATTCACATGATTGTCCAACAGATGTCCAAGGTAAAACACCAGTGACAGAGGGAGGCACTGGGGAGGCAAGGGTGGAGACAGGACAGGTGGGAGAAGACCCATCTTAAAGAGATGGAGGGAGGTGGGGATTAAAGATGAACCAAGGCTCCAAACCCCTACACATGCTGTTGTCTCATTAAGCTTTACTTAAACACACAGAATCACAGTTAAAATTTTTAAGAATTCTAAGCTAGTGACCTCAGAGAATTGAACTCCAAGGGTGAGGCCTTTTGGAACATGCAACTCTGAGCTGCTCTGTGGGGACTATGCATATGAAGTCAGCCCCAGTCAAAATAAATTCTCACCTTTTTCTTTTGGGTCTTTTGTTTGAGACAGGGTCTTTCTGTAACCCCAGCTTGCCTGGAACTCACTGTGTAGACCGGGTTGGTCTCAAACTCACAGAGATCCACCTGCCTCTGCCTCCTGAGTGCTGAGATTAAAGGTGTCTACCACCCACGCCTGACTAATTTCTCAAATTTTTTGGGGTCTTTTTGAGACAAGGTCTCCCTGTAGCCCCAGCTGGCCTTGAACTCACAGAGATCCACCTGCCTCTACCTTCTGAGTGCTGGGACTAAAGGCATGTGCCACCACGCCCAGCCTAAATTTTCAACTTTTAAATATTCTTTTAAAATATGGGAGAGAGACTCACTCTCTATATGAAGTAGTTCCCCAATGTGAAATAAACTGTGTTGAACATTTTAATTATATGTACTAAATTATATGCATCTAGGTCATATGCACTTAAAAATGTAGCTGTGTCCTCTTCACTTCAGGGTACTAGCAGTGATTTTTGTCTTATTCTTTGTACTTTTCATATGTTTTTCAGGTATTCTAGAATGAAATTAGCTGCTTTTATTAATTAATTGTCTTATTGTTACATATTTCTTAAATATACCTTAAAAGATATTATTTTATACATGTGATATAATTTAGTCTTGTTGCAGTAATGCATATTGTAGTGCTTTAACCAAGAAACATACTCCCTTCTTATCCAGGTCCATTAAAATAAGATTAGCCACATTCTCGGATACTTCTGGTGTTGAAAATCTTGTCAGCACCCTCCTGCTGCGTAAAAAGATACTGGAGGATTTAGCCCAATACAACAAGGCTTGCAGAGACCCTGTAAGTATTGGTAGAGACTAGGGTAGCTTCGCTTCATTTTCTTTGTCCTAATGGACATTTGTGACCCATGAAGATTCAGACTTGAAGCTTCCTTGGACAACAGTTATCACAAACTCAACAGATGTCCAGTGCTTTAAAAGATTTCTTTTTCTAGTGGTAGTAACAAGTTTGATGTTATGGAATAGGTCAATATTTGGAAAATCTGCATAGCTTGTTGACCAATGTTTTCTAGAAAAACCATATGCAAAGTTACAAAAGCATAGATAAGTGTAAGAGGCATCCAGAGTGTCAAATAGACAATTAGATTTTAGTATAGTAGTGCATAAAATGTTCAAGTGGCACATTGCAACTAATCTTGAAGAGGAATATCCACAATTATTTGAAAAGATTACTTAAATACTTGTCCCTTTTCTAACTACATATTGTGAAGACAGATCAGAATTTATGTATATATATATATATTTTTTTCAACCAAAGCAGCATATGGTGACAGATCGACTGAAGAAGCAGTTATAAGAATCCAACCGTCTTCTAAAGCCAGACATTAATGAGAGTTCCAGAAACAGAAAACAGTGCTACTCTACATATTTTGTTTAGGAAAATATAATGTTTCTTTTATTCAAGATATATAATTTGTATTAATATACCATGTATTGTTATTTTAAAATGAAAGAATAAGCAAATTTAACATTTTGCTTTATCAATACTTTTATTTTTTATTGATTGATACCTTTTGTGATTTTCATATAATGTAATTTGATGGTATCTAGATCCCCTCCCCTATCCACACTTCCCTTTTTGTATCCACATGACTCAATTTAATGTACTCTATGATATATTCTAATAAGGCCTATGGAGTCTAATTTGTGTCCCCAAATGTCCTTCAGTGTGGGTCCATTAACCTGATTACCTACCGAGTCCCATCTTTGAAAGACACTGCCTCTGTCCCTCCCATGAGCCTTCAGAATTTTCTTGGGTTGGAGTTTCTTACCTACACTTCCTCATGTCTATTTTGAGCTTGCATAGGATTTGTGCATGCTGTCACCATTGCTGTGAGTAACTGACCAGCTGTCTGGAAAAGTCTGTTTCCTTGTAGAAAAGCTAATAAATTCAGTTTTTTCTAGGTTCGAATTTCTCATACAGAAAGTAGTAATAGAAAATGGCATACACAGAAGCCAAAGCTTTTTGGAGTCGTCAACTGTGTAGATGTCCAGGTATCCTAAAAACTGAGAAGCCCAGGTATAGAACTAAAGAAAGCCTATTCAGAGTATAAGGGACTGGGATTTGAATCATAGGTTCATCTCCATGAACTGCAGATCTTGTGATGTGCCCAGCCTTCTAAGCCTTGTTATTTGTGTAAATGAAATAGATGTAATAATAATAGTCCCATTAGAGTGTGGGGATAAATGTGAACTGAGCACAAGGTGGGCACTGACCTTAATGCCTGCTTCACAGTTAACTGTGGGTATGTGTTAGTTCTGTTATTGTTATGCAACCATGGCTAGTGAGTTCACAGTCATTAATTCATTAGTGACTGATTTCAGAGACCTCGATAGTGATGTTTTTTAGGACTTAAACTCATCCTTATCTTTTCAGGATGGAACAGCACTGCAGGTATTTGTTGCTGAAGTCGCAGAACAAATAGTTGGCATTGCAGTGATCAGAAAAGAAATGGTAAGGTACAAAATGGCCTTTTATTCCTTGAGTGTGACTTTTATACCATGAATTGGCACACAGTGTCTCTTTGAAGTTTTATTTTTACTCACTTGATGTGAATGAATCATTTTCCTATAGTTTGTGGTCATGGGCTTGCCTTCCACTTGATAGACTTTCAAGTCTCCTTTTCTTTTCTCCAGTTTAAAATGTTTATAATTACAAAGAAAACATGAAGATTCTCATTCTTAAAAATCTAAATCTTCCACCCACCCCTAAATCCCACTGCTCTCACCAAAAAATTTCTATTGTAATTAGTCATTTATCTTCCCGAGAATTCTTCCTTTCATTCAATTACATGTATCGTGTGTGTTTGTGTGTCTACTTTATTCCAAAACATTTTTTACTGAGTAATCCATTATTTTGCTTCTAATATAAAGTATTTTTACATTTATTAAATTTCCATATTCCTGTCTATTTTTAAAAATATTTTATTATTTTTTTCATGTGTATGAGTGTTTTGCCTGCACATGTAAGCACACCATGTGTGTGCTGTTCCTGTGAAGGCCACAAGAGGGCACTGAATCCAGAACTGGAGTTAGAGATGGTTGTAAGCCACCATGTAGGTGTTGGGAACAGAACCTGGGTCCTCTGCATGATTACATGTGCTCTTCACCACTGAATTATACCCCAGTCCCCTCATATCTGTTCTTAAGCTCTATTCTATGCCATGTATCTATTTATTGATACCTGCTTAATAATTGTGTTTTAGTATCTAGTAATGGACTTTCTTTCATCTTCTCTGCTTTTTTCTTTTCCTTGAGATAGGTTCTTATATAGCCCATGTAGTCCAGGCTAGCCTTGTACTTGCTATCTTATCATATAAGCAAGTATGATCTTGAAGTCCTAATCCTCCTGCCTGTACTTGCCAAGTGCTGGGGTCTCAGGTGTGTATCACCACATCCAGCCTTCATTTGCCTTCTTTTTCTAAATTTTCTTAGATGTTTCTCCTTTCAGATAAACCTACTAATGTTATTAATTTATCTGTGCCTGTATGGATTTTATAAAAACAATTTAATTTCCTCTGAGGAATATGGCTATCTGCATTATTGTTTAATTCTGGGTTAATTTTGGAAAGTTTTTCATGCATGTTTTTGGGCCAGTAATATGGCTTGGATGTTAAGTGTATCCTCCAAAGACTCATGCATTAGAAGTGTCCCCCAATATGACAATGTTAAGAAGTAGGGGGATCTTTAAAATGTAGAAATGCCTGGGAATTGGACAGGTCATTGGGGGGTACTGCCTGGAGAAGGGATTAAGTAGTTCTTGGGGGATCCCAGTTAGTTTACATGAGAGTGAATAGTTATAAAAAGAAAGAGGTGGGCCTCTCCTCTCCCTTTTCATCTTACCATGAGCTCTCTTTGTCTTCTACATGTTCATACCATAATGCACTCTGCCTTTAGGCCCTCACCACAGCTCAGACCAATGTGGTGGCCTCCATAACAGTGACCTGAATAAACCTCTTTACTTTATAATGAGCCCAGCCTTGAGTATTCTTTTATAGCAATGGAAAACAAACTGATGCAGTCCTGCGTTAGTTATTAGTTATTATTTTCCCTGCAGGCTCATCATCTACTTTTTCCACTTTATTTTGTTCTATGAGCCTGGCTGAAAAATATACCTTTGTCCTTTGGTTTCCTGTTAGGTTTGACCAATGTGGGGAGGCTCCGACACGAGCAGGGGGTCAGTGAGTTTGGGATGTCTACAACTGGCTGATATCTCTGCTGAACTCACTGGCCTTTTCTCCAGGATGTTCTCTTTGTGGATTCCAGTGCCTCTTCCTCCTAGGCCACCCACCAAGGCCGTTAATAGTTGGTACTTGCTGCTGTACCATCCCTGCTAATTTCCCTACACCCTCCCCATCTTTGTAAATATTCCATTTGTTGAACTTACCTCCAATTATCCTAATTTGAACATACCATCTGTCTCCTCCTGTGACCCTGCCCCAGTATACTCCTGGACATTTGTGATTTCTTTCTATATATTTTATAATTTTTCTTGGTATTTTAAATAGATAGTTCTCATTGTACTTTATAAAATGTTTATTTTAGTATAGAGGAAAAATCACTGAGTTTTTAATGTTAGTCTTATATCCAGCTACCTTTCCGAAGTCTCTTTTTCACTGTGAGAGTTTAAAAATGGATTCTTTTTCCTAACATAGCAGTACTTTCAGGCTACTCTGTTGCTGAGAGCAGTTAGAGGCCAAGCTTGGATTCAAAGAATGGAGGAGTGGACTCTCCATCTCGATTGCGGCAAGGGCACTGTGGGAAAGCATGTGGAGTGGGAGATACTGTTGTGGTGGCCATCTTGGTCTCTCCCCTTCCCCTCTTCTTTTTCTACAAGGTCTCATGTAGCCCAGGCTGGTCTGGTACTAGCTACGTAGTCAAAGATGAGCTTGAACTCTTTTTTCTTACTAATAAGTCATAAATAGATTTATTTTAACATAATTCTGTTATAGATATAATTTTACTGTCTATTAATATCTAAACTAAATTTGCTTACTAATGAGATGGATGTGCTTGTTTGTTTTTATAATCAGAGAATTAAATCTCAGCTGAATATTTGATAGTGCCAGAAATAGAACATCTTCAATATTTTTCAGAGTTGATTGACATTTGATGTTATAATTATTAATGCTGAGAATATTACTTTGCATAAATACATAGTACAAATGGCAGAAGTATGTTTAATGCCATTTCAGAAATTCTTGAGAATTATTTCCTAATCCCACACTGAAATTCATTAATTCTTTTTTTTTTTTTGGCCCATTTAGTTTTTTTTTTAGCTTAAAAAAAAAAACTTCATTAGAATTTCATACATGCATATAAGGCGTTTTGATCAAATCCATGTCTATTCTCTCCCCTCCAACACCTCCCATAGTTCCCCATCGCTTTTTTCTGACAACTTTGTATACTTTTCTTTCTTTCTTTTTTTCTTTCTTTCCTTCTTTCTTTTCTTTTTAAAATTTATTTAGTAACCCATGATTAGAAGAAGCATTCCTTTACAGCTTTAACATATTCAATAACAATTTCCAGAGCAAAGATACATCTCTTTCAAAAGTGGCTGTAAATTTTTAGGTTCACAGTTGAATGAATACAGTTATACAACATTGAACTGGGTATAAACCCTGTAAGACATAAAATTGAATGAGTTTTTAACCTTTAAAAAAGATCTCTATTTCATTTTAAATTATACTGTTTCCTACAGAAAGACTCAATTTTAATACTACTAACACTTAGATGTTTGCACATGGGTCTCTAATCTCTATGTATCTGATTATTACTAGTCACAGTCTGTTACACTCGGCTCCTTGGCACCTGAGTATGGATATAGTCATCAGATAGATTTCAGTGGTAATGTTTATCACCTCTACTAATTAACATGAAGTAAATTTTTATGCTTCCTCCTCAAATATAACTCATTTAAAAATTTGTTGATTTTTTTGTGTGTATATCATACAAAAAATTCCAAACAATCTTATTCATCTCTATACCCACTTTCCAAATGGCACCCTCCATTAGCCTACCCCCCCCAACTGGAGCCTATATACTCTGTCATCCATGTTACTGTCCATTGTGTTGTCAGCACCCCCACCCACTACTACTTGCCCTTCTGGTGAATCTAGTCAGCCTATCTAGAGGTCTTTTTTTGGGGGAGGGTCTGCTGTTCTTCATTTAGTGGTAATCAGTTGTCAATATTCCTTTAGATAATATTGGGATCTGCTGTTCATTTTCCCAAATCTATGCTGGGTTACTGTCTGGGAGTCTCTTGGGCCATCCTGGCCAACAACTCAAAGGAAAGTATCTCCTGTCTGGCATTGTTTTTTGTTATGAAGCCTTTAGCTATACATATGGACTTTAAAAAAATTATATTGATCCCTTTAATCTTTGGTTATACTTTCCTTTTTGGGTGTTTAAGATCCTACAGTTGGCCCAGATAAACCAATTTATTTTTACTCTTAAGGCCATCTGAGTATCTGTTCCTCAGGGGTCACATAGGATTGGGAGGAGCCACTTGCTCCTTTCTTTTACCAGTTCCACCTATATGATGATAAGTCAAAGGTCCTGCTTGACCATGGCTGGCTTCGCTTCGAAGCATGGAGGAAATGTTTCCTCTGTGTTGACCCTCCTCTTTGTAGACTGTACACTGGTTCAAGTCCATCTTGTGGGGTCTCCATGGCCTCCTTGATCAAGAGGACAGGTGACTCACCACAGTTACAGGACATTTTGAGAGATGCTCATAGTCCCCTGGAACTTAGTCGACCTAGGAGGGTAAGGAGCCAAAACTGTCCTTTATGTCCCTCTGACCAAATTAGTTTAGGCCTCAAAGTATAGCTGTTTAAACATGCAAGGTTAGTTCCATCAGTTTGATAACTTTTAATTACCATGTGCCATGTAGATAAAGCTTGGGCAAAGACCAAACAGTCTCAGATAAACATTGCCTAGATATATATTATATTCCTTGAGCTAGTTGTATATATAATTTGTCAGTAGGTTGCTTGATTAATATGGTTCCCTCTGATTTTTTAAAAACTAGCTAGGCATTATTTATCTCTCGCATTGTCTAACCCTTGCACCATGGTTTCCCCATTTAAAGTCCCCCATTTTCCCATTTCTCCCTTACTAATACCCTTCCCCATAGTCCCACTTCTCTTGAGTTCCTTCATTTCCTTTATCCCCTAGGTTCATTGTATAACCTTCCTTCTCTCTCCCCTTAAAATAACCCCATTTTTATCCATAGCTCCCTTATTAATGCCTGTTTCCTACTGTTCTTCTCTTTCAGATTCTTTCTTTTCCTTTACCTCCCTGGTTCCTTTTCATTATCCTGGTTCCTGTAGTTATGTCTGGATACATAAGCACTTATCAGGATTTGGTGCTAGGATCCACATATGAGGGAGAACATATGTCATTTTTTTCTGAGTCTGTTACTTCACTTAGTGTAACACTTTCTATGAAGAGCCA